AAAACATTTAAATGCCCGCGTTCATTCATTCTTTAAGTGATCCCGTATCCAATTTCATTTTCATTTTAGGTCACCTAATGCTCATTCACTATAACTACAATATATATATTGCATTTACTTTTAAACAAATGATTACCATTGTTAGGGAGGCGGGTTTACATTAGTTTCTATGCTAATTAAAGCATATATGAAAAAAGTTTTCATTTTTCAGTTCAAAATTTTGTCATAGTTCTGAATTCATATCAATATGACTTTATCGAAATGTGTAAGCAGTATTGAAGAGCTTTAAATTAGATTGGTAGATAACACAGAGAGGTGTCCATACTTTATTATTTATAGTAGTAGTTCAAAATAGAATATAAAGCCGAAAGTAGGTAAAAACAAGCCTACTTTGAGGTGAATTATTTGTTATATTTCTTAAAATAGTTTTATTTCACATTCCCTTTTTATTAATATAACCAAATTCTCATATGATATGACAATTATAATTAGTTCCACGGATTGACGATACCCCCAAAAGTACAAACTTATTTTGGATTTTCCATGGTCATTAAAGCAGCCTTATACTGCCTGTGAATTTAATCAGAGTGTTAATCTTTCAAAAGATGGATTTTTAAAGTGAACAAAAGTTATTGTCCAAGTATGCCGGTGAAGTTGAAGGTGTTATTCGTCTAAGGTATGCATTATAATTAGCCCACATCTTCAGATAATTGTCCCTAACACATTGTTTTTCTCGTCCTTATGATGTACAATGTATACACACTCCCAAAAAGTAATGTCGTCGCCATTAACGTTTTCCAGAAAATAAACACCCAATCCAATCAGTGGTTTGTTTATGAGAAATCCCATCTATTTACACGACCGGTCATTCAAATTTTATAAACGCAGAAGTTTACATTCGTAGATATTCTAAATATAGAAATTTTGTCATATTCATGTATAAGGACATCATTCAGATATTTCATTAAAAAATTACTTTTGCATGCTTAAGGTAACATGTCCTCAGTTCCTGACAAGACCTACAGCTTTTGTGAACTATCAAAACACAGGTGAATTTCCTTTTGGGGCGTTTTCACAGTGTTGTATAATAGCTAGAAACTATATCAACATTAATTAAATTTATTATCAATACATGAAAGAATTTTGAAAGCATGAACAGTTTATTATATTATTTGGTAGATTACATGTATTAATTTGGTGGCTCTAAAATCAAATGTTTATCTGTCAATTTGCTTGGGAATCAATGTAAGAATTAAGAAAAATATTTGACTGCATGCAGTAGACTATATGTTATCATGTAAGTTGGACGGAATAATCTCTGCTGCAAACTTTCATTCAATCACATGCACCCCTACTAATATTATTGTGATTCAAATTCAAGACACGTGGTTTAGGTTGATCTATTCAAGGGTTATAGGGTAGAACCGGTTTTATAAATAGAATTGGCAGTAAACAGGATATTGCCATAGCCTGTTTCTTTTGAAAACATGTCCTGTAATAAATGTTTCCAGACCTTTCTGAAACAATTTCATGATTTTCAACAGAAAAAAGGTGGCTAAAGGAGGGGTGTTAAAATAACAATATATCTTATACTTTTCGGCGAAAATTAGAGTTCACTAGTGAAAGATTCGCTGGTAAAAATGTGTATTATCATCTACATTGACAAACCTTTATTTGCCTTATATGGCTATTGTTATACATGCGCACAGAGGATCTTACAACGAGCAACTGACCAATCGTTGTATGAATATCAACGTTTACACCAAATACATGTTTACATTTTACTTCGAACACGTGGTTCAGGTCAATCTTTGATCATGTCAATAGACTGCAAAATAAAAATGAAAATGTTTTTACGAACAAAATACAAAGATTAGAAACTATGAAAAATGTTACGGGCGTTTTTGATTGGTTGTTAATTGGAAAAAAAATGTTTATTAAATGTAGTTTGTGTCTAGTTCAGAACACCAACGCTTCAAGGGTAAGGAAAACGAGCAGCATTTGTATTCACTGATAGTACAACAAAGGAATTAATACAGACGCAAACCGCTTTTGCTAGACTTCCACCGTTTATTTAACAAATGATTTGTTTGTCATTATGAGCATGAAAATGATATTTTTAAAAATACTTTTCACTTACCATAAGATTTTCCTTTACTTTTAAGCGTAAAATTCCTGTTGTGTTCATAGTAACCCATAATGCAATACTCATTCAGCTGATTGGTCCGTTAAAATCATGCTGGTGTCTCATTTGCTAATCTAACGCCAAAAAATATTGTCCCGGTACCCATGCAAAAATATTTGTCCAAAGAGAAATTTTAATTCATGTCTGCATTAAATTGTATTATGGAGAATATTTATTTAAGATTGAATGAATGTAAGGGGGATCGACTGATTGAAGTACATTTCTTCAGACATTATCAGCTGATTCTTGGGTGGTGAAAACTGAAACGAAACATAACTTTTCTGTTTATCATGTCTTCACGTGCTAGTCACTTCC